CAGAAAACTGCTCATTTTTAAAAGAAAACACACTATGAGACTGAACACTAATCCAATTGAATATAGAATGACTATATCATTACCAAAAAAAAAAGTGATGAAATAAGTGACTGAAACTCACAAAAACCATCTGCAAAGAAAGTACACACCAAAACCTTATATTCCAAGCAACTATTTTTTTTCCTCTCCAAAAAAAAAGACACTACCTTTGCAATGTAATGGCAATGGTTTGACTACAAACACGACTAATTTATGAGGCTCAATGTCATGCAACATGTTTGAAAATTTCCTTTACCCACAAAAACTGCATATAAAAACACAGGCATGTACTATTTGATATATATCCAGGGTACCAAATAAAAAGCCTATAACACAGAAATAGTATATTCATAAATAATTTCTACATTAAAAATGAGATGTCCATTAAAAAGGAAACCATGGTGAAATCTATTTAGTTTTAGTAAAGAAATAGTGACAGAAGATATTGCATATACGCAATGATTTCTCCTGAATTTAAGTATTGCCGTTTTGTACATGTAACTGTTCTTCTCTTAGTTGCTCCTTGGTATAACACAGGTAAGGAAACAGTAAAGGTTATGGAAGGCAACATGGCTGCGAGCAACTTGTTATTGTGTTTTCTGTTACTTTGTCTCTAAATGAGTTGCGTTTCAGTTGTTGGTAGCAACACCGGACAAGTAACCCCGGGCAGGGTTATAGCTACGTTCAAAATACCATAAAACCAGCATTATACTGCAAAACAAAAAATCAGATTATGTCAGTATATTTTTAAATCCCAGCATACTGGCTATTATCTGGGGGAACAAACTGTGCATGTGAAAGATTTGGAAGAATGAGACTTAACATTATTACTGAAACCAGAAAATAGCGATACTAGAAGAATGAGACTAACATTACTGAAACCAGAAAATAGCGATACTTCATTTAATTTCTGTTCCCGTGTACTTCATAAAGTGAATAACTCCTTCTTTGCCAAGACAGTTCAACTGCCAGCATAATGCAGATTTGCAAAATCACTAGTGGTCTTCACATACCCGAACACCCCGTGTAGGATATGATCATTCCCCAGGCAGTTTATGCCCCTGACGCCAGAAGATGATAATTCCCTCACAAAGCGAGCTCTGATCCTTGGACTTTTCCCAAGACTTTAAAAGCAAGAACAAAGGGCAGAAAACGCGCACCCACGAACGCATTAAGCAAGGCTCTTGCTTTCAAAGTTCCCCCGTACACGTAGGTCGCGCTAACGGCAAACAGGAGCGCTGGGAACCGCGGAGTCCCCGCGCCGGTTCAGGGCACAGCCCGCGCGGAGGCTCCGTCACGGCTCCAGCCCAGGCGGGAGCCCGCTCCCAGGGAGGCGCCGGGAGCGCC